ATATATATATGGAAGTGAATATAGGCGTGGGTGTGTATATATGTATTGATGTATGTATTCATGTATATATATATATATGTTTTAACCGAGTATATACGTCGAACGATACAAGCCTCATTTAGTTAGATGTTTCAGCCAACAAACCGTTACTCGACTGTAAATTCGAATAGGGTCTACGTTCATTGTTGTATAGCCCTACTATATTTTTGGCCTGAGATTTCTAATCCGGCACAGAGACACACCTACGACTTGACAACAAAGTATATCTCCTTAAAGTTTTGCACTTACCGAGTACTTCCAGATACCTCCGAGCGTCTCGTTTGCATCGAGAATTGTGACCTTCAGACCACATTGTAATAGCCATTTTGCAGTAACAATGCCAGAGACCCCAGCCCCTACAACACACACGTGTAAAGGTTCTGAATCACTGCTCGAATCTTCAATATCATCAGCGTCATCAGCACAGGAGTCTGACGCTGTCTCCGTTAAATTGTTCGGAGAAACGGCTTCAAAGACTCGGTGTGGTATGCCCGTCCCATCTTGCATAGTGTGCGTGTATATGTAGTATTGTATATCTAAGATATGTATTGGTGGGTCGTACAGTGTCAAAGATGGCGTCGCTACCTTCGCCTTTAAAAAGGGTTTCGTCAAGTACCGACTATCTGACTTAACTGTAGAACACGGTTAATTTTTTCTAGCAGGCAAATCTGCCAGTGTATAACAGTGCAATTATAACCCGATGCCGTCCCATATGCCGATGAATAATCCTAGTCATTTAATGGCTGTTTGTTTAGACTACAGAACAAGGCCTTGTAGAATAGAAAATCGAAGTCGTATTTACGATGCAAATATATCTTATGCATACATGAATAGAAATATGTGTAGTTTCAGTTGGCGATGTATGTATGTATACATTCGTGTTTCAGTCGTTGCCTATATATTTACATATTTATATATACATGTGGTTTCAGGTATTTAGCTATATTTACGTATGTACTCAACTGATGACCTTGTTGGGATTATACTATAGCATATTTCTAGAGAGCCACAATCTGATCGGGCGAATCTAAAAACGAGAGTGAGATATAGATAATTAGATATCATTATGTGAGAGGCTGAGAGCACTGTTGCAGCTTCTGGAAGCTTTTTTTTATTTCTTTATTTTCATAGATGTCTATGTTTTTTAGGTCAAATTACTATATGTGGCCAGATGTGGCAGGCGCCAGCCGCCAGCCGCAAGGCCAGCGGGCATCAGGCAGTCTGTGTGAGCCGTGGCAGGCAGGCGTGTCAAAATTCATTCATGTATTTTTATTAGTGTTTTTTTTTTAAACCAATATCATAGCCCATAGCCTTTATCCAAATATCTTTCTCTTTTTTTAACAAAAAGGAAATAAAAATACTTTGGGTTTTTTTGCTTTTCTTACTACATACATATACATACAAAACCAAAAAAACCCAAAACCAAAAACTAAAACTAAAATCATTTTCACAAGAGTCATCAGTCATCACACTTCACAGTATTTACACAACCCTCGGGCCACTGTCCGCAGTCCCCACTACCCCAATGCCCAGAGCTCAGTGCACTGAGCGCTGGGCACTATGATACTTTGTGTTTTTTTTCGTTTGTTTTTTACAAACAAGCAAAAAAATAATATTATATGTACATAAATATTTACATACTAAATACAGACTATGTACACTGTATAGTACATATTATATTCATATAACTATAAATATAAATACAAAAATAGAATGCCAATTTTTGTCGTCATTATGTGCAATTCCAAGTGTCCATACATAGCATTTCCTACTATGTATATTTTGGCGGGTCCGAGGGGTCGAGGGCAAAACACTACCATAATAATTACTCATTGTACCACAGTAGCTTCCTTTTCAAAACAAAAAGAGTAAAAACAGAACAATAAATACAACTCACGACCCAATGAAACCTTTCGATACGAGACAAACTCGAGGACGCATAGGGATAATATTATTTATTTCAATGTACATTTGGTTTGGCTCGCATATCCGTTGTAGGGATAATATTATTTATTTCAAAAATGGCAAGTATGTATGATACAATGTAGTGTGGTGTAGGATATGGTAGTGTGTGTTCGAGCGTATATGATTAAGAAATGTGGTGTTATGCCAGGTTTCAACCACACACATAACATCAACCTGACTTAAAATCGATATAACGTTCAAACACTTATCTGTATGTGCTGCGTTGTCCATGTTGAGTCCTTGTGGGTTGAAGAGCGTCATCCTCATTGGGCCTAACATTGTTCATCATCGGTCAATACTACTGGGCTCTACTCTTTGACGATGTCAGCCATTTCTATATCATTGCCTGTCGTCGAAGAGTCCGTCGTGGAAATCTGAGGTTGCGTATTGCTATCCATCGTGTCGGATGATTGTGTCTGTGGTTCGGGGAAGATCAATGGGAAGAACACACTCTGTAGTCCACAAGTCTCCTAGTTTGCCTTTATGACATCTTAAGTGTCCAAAAGGTTTAAGGTAGTCAGCTAAGTGTGGTACCCCATCTGAAAAGAAGTTTACAAACCCACACATGCTGTTAACGTGTTCGCCTGTAGTCTTAGAAAAGACGACTCTGTCACCTATATAGACTTGCACGTTAGGCATATCTGCAAACATTTCATCCATTAATTGTTGGAAAAATGCTGGTAAAGAGTGTAACTCGAAAGGTGCGCCTCTAAACCGGTATTGTTTGCTTTTCCACGTTAAACTAAACTATTTATGGTGGGGTTTATATATTTGCATTTGGTGGTATCCTTGTGTAAGGTCTATAGTTGTAAACACTGTAGCACCTTACATCATTCGCAGTAGCTCGTTAATACGAGGTAAGTGATAGCTATGAGTCGGCAATAATTTATTTATTGGACTCATATCTAAACATACTCTGACTTTCTTAAACGATCCGTCAGAGTTATGTTGGTCTACGGCTAGCAGTGCCAAGTTAACTGGCGTTTGTTGATAGTTAATTTCTATCACACCATTTGCTAGCCATTTCTCAACTTGTTCTTTTACAACAGCCTCGTTTCTTCAGGATATATAGTTCCTTGAGGTATAGAAATACGGCCACCGGTCAGTCTAAAATATCAAGATCAATTGAGATAATACACTGGTTTATATTTGTATTTTAAAAAATTTAATACAAGCTCTTTTTCCAATATTTCCAAAGTGTTCTATATTCACTTTGATGGCTCCAATAGCCTGAGTATTTGATATGACTCATCTACTTGGACCTGTTTGAGACATTACTAGATGTAGAATATTATAAACTAAATTTTATAATCTCCGAACTGCTACTTAAAGATTTTGGTCCTCCCGCCAATCTCCAAAATCCAATAAATCTTTTTCTTTTTTTAACTTTTCTTCAGATGGAACTTTATTTATATCAGCTAATGTATTAACGTGACTTACGTTATTATGTCAATATACAAATTAGGCATATGGTCATGAACACTTAGTACTTCTATTGAAAATTATTCAATAAAGAACAGCTAGAGGTACGCCCTGTGTGATCGAGGATATTTAGGCTCTTAACAAGAGGCAGTCCCGATCATTCTTACACAAGCTACCACTGCTAAATCCTAACTGACTAAATTGTATTTTAGTTTAATATAGTTTGAAACCTAGTAATTTCCATCGAA